CCATGACACCACCACCACCAGCCTGAACCGTTGATACAAGGCAGGATGGATCCATGCTTTCATGTTGTTGACGCCAAATTCTGACCCTACCATCCAAATGTTGCAGCAAAAATTGAGACTAATCAGACCAGGCAACGTTTTTCCAATCTTCTATTGTCCAGTTTTAGTGAGCCTGTGTGAATTGTAGCCTCAATTTCCTGTTCTTAGCTGATAGGAGTGGCACCCGGTGTGGTCTTCTGCTGCTGAAGCCCATCTGCCTCAATGTTCAATGTGTTGTGTGTTCAGAGATGCTCTCCTGCAGACCTCGGTTTTAACGAGTGGTTATTTGAGTTACCGTTGCTGTTCTATCAGCTCGAACCAGTCTGGCCATTCTCCACTGACCTCTAGCATCAACAAGGCATTTGCGCCCACAGGACTGCCGCTCACTGGATGTTTTTTCTTTTTCGGACCATTCTCTGTAAACCCTAGAGATGGTTGTGBGTGAAAATCCCAGTAGATCAGCAGTTGCTGAAATACTCAGACCAGCCCTTCTGGCACCAACAACCATGCCABGTTCAAAGGCACTCAAATCACCTTTCTTCCCCATACTGATGCTCGGTTTGAACTGCAGCAGATCATCTTGGCCATTTCTACATGCCCAAATGCACTGAGCTACTGCCATGTGATTGGCTGATTCAACATTTGTATAAATGGGCAGTTGGACAGGTGTACCTAATAAAGTGGTTGGTGAATGTATGTAATCTAATATTATGATGAGATACATATACATATAGCTGAACCATGAAACCTACTGCACTGTAAAAAATGTCCACGTAACCAAGTTTTAAAGTCTTATTTCCAGCCAAACAGTCTTTTTGATCTTGTTTTGAGACTGATTTACTAAACAAGAACTGATTGTGTACGAATAATAATCTTGTTTTCAGAATTTGTAAGATTTTGTCTTGTTCACCTGAAAATTTGACTCAAATTAAGTCAAAAATTTCTGCCAATGCAGCAAGAAAATTTTACTTGGTAAAGTTCTTTAAATAAGAAAAAATTGAGTCAAATCAAGTATTTCAAGAATCTTACCAAGTAAAATTTTCTTACTCCATTGGCAGAAAATTTTGACTTAATTTGAGTTAAATTTTCAGACTAACAAGACAAATAATCTTACACATTCTGAAAACAAGATTATTATTCTTACACAGTAAGTTGTTCAGTAAATCAGTCTCAAAACAAGATCAAAAAGACTTTTTTGGCTGGATATATGATTTTAAAACTTGGTAAGATGGACAGTTTTTGCAGTGTGCATCCCAAAGTTGTCAAAATAAACACCTCCCAATAAACATAATTTTTGGCATTCCAGCTGCTCAGTTTTACTCAGTATTTTACTACTTAAGTATTTTATATCAGAAATTTACTTTTGATGCATAAGTACAGTAAACATCAGCTACTGTATTTTTAGAATTTTACTGAAGTAATATTTTTAAAGAATGCTAACTTTTACAAAAGTAATTTTATGGTAATATATTTGTACTTTCACTCAAGTATCACTTTGAGGTGCTTTATAACACAATGGATGGACAGATAGATTGAAAGATCAAAAGTTAGTGCTGCCACATAGTCAAAATGCACAACATCAGTAAACATTATTTCTCAAATTGGCTCTGTCCTAAAGCCAAAAGGAAAAAAAAAAGAGACCAAAGCCAAAAGGAGCCAAAAAGTTTAGATTAGCCATAGTCCAAAGTTGTTAAACTTCACAGACTGTCAGCTGATTGATAAATTAACCTTTTTACAGATACAACGCTGCACATGCTCAGCGTCAGTACTTTGTGATTTGTGATTCAGACATCCAGCAACATTGCTGTCTGAGGACAATTTGATATTGCAATTTAAAATAATAATGAAACTAATGTAGAAGTGTTTGTATACCAACTCCGCAGAAAAGCAGGTGTAAAGACCAAAAGTTGATGCCCACCTTGAATGCTGGAAGAAGATTGTATTTGGGGTGTGGTGCGCATTAGTAACTGTAAAAAGATCAAACAACAAGTTCTCTTCTCTGATTGATTTCTCCTCTTGCAGGATGCAGGTTTTCATTTCTTGGCAGTGGTTTTCTACCTGAGTGCATCAGTGGATTTAGCCTTCATCACCTATGTCAATGGCAAGTTTTTGCCGGGAACCAGTGATCTTAAAACCTACAGATTGGAAATTTCTGCTGTGGTACGTACAACACACACACACACACACACACACACACACACACACACA